TTATTATTGCTATTATTATTGTTATTATTATTGCTATTATTATTGCTATTATTAATAACAGCCCCACGTGGTCACCAAAGTCTCTCCCTTCCAGGATCATGTTGAAAATATGATCCGAGTTCGATGCATATAACTACCCCTCATATGCCCAATAACGTACCTGTGATCACAAGAAAGTTAACTAAGGATAGCGTTGTTAAAAATAAGATCCTCTATTGTTTATTTGAATACCTCATTGTAACACTACTCATATTCTTTATTCTGATCAAAACACATTACCAGATGTCTCACCTCAAACTTTCCTTCTGCGCCCCTACTGCACCTATAATCGTGATTGAAAAAATATTGTGGTCAGTTTTCGAAATAATGTACTCTTGATTAGTTCTTCTGTTCTGTTGTTACTACTATTGTTATCAATGAGATCAGCATTGTTACTGGTATTATTATTGCCTTATCACTAATATTAAATTGCGTGTTAATATCATTAGTACTATTTACCAGTCGTACGTATTGCTTCGTGAAGTGTCGATTGGTGAATTGTTAGATTTAATTACCCAAGTTTGAGATACTCATTACTGCGACCTGAAACATAAAGTGATAGGTTATTGTGGTGTTGGTAAATGAAGTATTGGAGTTGGTGAAGATACTGTAGATTATCAATAAGGCGACTTCAAAAATGTGCTTGCTCTCTATGGTGGTATTTGGATATAACCACCATTCAGTTCTGTTATAATTTGATAAACCAGCTGATGGCATGCGTTACGATGTGTTGCAGTATGACCTGGTGAGCCGTACCTGTGACGATTCCGACAGCTATTGAGCATATCTTTGAGCAAGCGGATTTAGTTGAAACAGACGCGACCACGGGAAGGTACCGCTGCTCCATCGACTCCGCGTCCACTATTGAATAATTCAGTTTTCAATTATTATTGATGACAATAATTTCCCATTATTATTATCAATAATAATTGAAAACGAAATTATTCAATTCGATGATTCGCGTTCCAATATTGTTGGAACAATATTACTTCAGAACAATGAAACAGTCCGCGACCGGACAATTTGACGTTTTGCCTAACGACAGTTTGCCTGAAGACAGATTGCCTAACGAGCACTTTATCATATGGGCATTTTGCTTATTCAGCAAAATGTCCAAATTTTCTGGTCACGGACTGTTTCATTATTCTGAAGCAATTCGTAGTAGACGTGTTGAACATCTCTTCGTCAGAATACCATGAAGGAACTTTGCATATCCTTTAATGCATCAATTATTTGATGCATATTGCATCGCTCTTCTGGATTCATTCTCCAACATTTTCTCAGCAGCCTGAAATTTGACGTCTCAACTAGTTTCTCCGCTGTTTCACAACGACATTCGCCACATGAACTAATGAAAACCAATTCAAAAACATCATCATACCTTTCAAAAGATGCCGGACAGCTTGCAGGTATTGCGAGGGTTGAACCCTTCTGCGTAACTAGCTCCATTATACGAAACGGACCTAGACCGCTATAGGGCACCTGTAATAAACACAACTCACAATGGAAAGCAAAGAAATTAACGTGAAAAATGCTTCAACATCTTATTGCGAATATTACCTCTCGTGAGATGATTTCCCACAAAACGACTGCATAACTCCAGACATCTATTGCCTTACTAATTTTGTTCTCTTGCGTTATCAATTCTGGACTGAAAATTGACCGACAACAATTAAAATATAAAGTATTTATTAGATGATTTCCAACATCAGAATAAGCAATTAACTGATGTAAACATAATGAGAGTGCACGGCTAATCCACTGATACAACTCACCTCATCCAAGGGACCGTACCAACGAAAGATGATGGTGTGCACGAATGAGTAAGAATTTTTGATAACCCAAAATCACATAGTTTACAAACTCCTTCACCACTCAGGACAATGTTTCCCGATTTTAAGTCGCGATGAATTATTGTTACAGGAGCCTCATAGTGCAAATACCTAACTCCACGCGCTATCTAAACAAAACTTCATCAATGCTGAAGTCCGCAAAACAATTCAATGAATTGCAAATCGAATACTTCTTCCTCTGATTTTTGCATTTTCTACAAGTTCTGAATGTTCCCATACAAATGTCACTGACACTCCAACCGCATACAAATAATTTTTCAAATTCAACTCTTCCATCAACTTTTTGCCTAGATGTTCTATCAAACGCTCCATTTTCCGTGATCAATGAGGATTCGGCTCTGAGACTCTGAGACAGTGAATAATTAAAAACACCCGAAAATCAAATAAAAGAGGATTCAGTGATGGGATTCATGAATTTAAGAAGGGTAACGCGATTATCGCGATATTAAATGGAGGATTGTAATTGATTACTACGGATCAGAGATTATCTCTGTTTTATAAAGTTATTTTGGGATCAACACCGACAAACGACGATCATAAATTACGTCAGTGTTCAATGATCACGACACAGGCTATCTTCACATGAAATATGGATATCAAATATCACAATAAAATAGAACAATTGGATTAAATAAAGATAATCGCAACGCACTCTTAACCAGAGATCACTACAACCCCGATAAGTTCAGCTTTTACTTATGCATCAAAAACCACCACGCCTATCATCCTGAGGTATAAAATGATGAAGTTGGGGCGACATCTTCATTGGTGATCTTATTATCTTTTTCAGTGTTCAATAACTTTGAATTAATTTGTCATNAATAAAATGGAACAATTGGATTAAATAAAGATAATCGCAACGCACTCTTAACCAGAGATCACTACAACCCCGATAAGTTCAGCTTTTACTTATGCATCAAAAACCACCACGCCTATCATCCTGAGGTATAAAATGATGAAGTTGGGGCGACATCTTCATTGGTGATCTTATTATCTTTTTCAGTGTTCAATAACTTTGAATTAATTTGTCATCATTGCTATCGTTATTATTATCATTGTTATGCTTTTTATTATCCCGTAAACGATTATTCTTTAATAACATTATTATTATTATTATTGTTATTGATTATTACTGATAATTATTGTTATCTTATTGTTGATATGATATGATCGCTATTTTGAACGTTATTATTGTATGCAAGGTTTAATTACCCAAGTTTGAGGTAATTGACTAATAAACAATTGTTGACAACTCGACAATTCGTCACAAAGGGATTCATATTCCAATAATGCAAAATAAATTAACCTCCAAGGCCCAGGTAATAGTTTGTTTGAAATCGATCTTAGGATTCTCCGGATTGTGAAGATAGCTGTAAAGTGATCCGCCTTCGGCTAGTTCTGCAAGTTAATTTTGATAGTATCTTCCAATTGTTCCGCTAAACTTTAGCGATACTGGTATGACTCAGAATGAATGTTGCAAAGTTCCTCAGAATGTTACTATAATAATAGGGTACCGACCATACGTAAGCAGAAAACACAGTAAAATCATCGACTGCGGAAACAATTCTTATGAGTAACCAATACCATTCGGTCTAACAATGGCTGGTGAGAAAGGATTTGATGACTTCAAGTGTTCAAGCACCAAGAATGAAGTTTTTACTCGAATCAATACTTAGAAGTGTCAGAAATTCACTTAAATAAGAATGAAAATTTATTCATTACACAAATATTTCGATTTCAACGACTAGCCAAGTTTAATCATACTTTTTTACGGGGAATAACATTCGCAGGGACAACTACGGGAGTGGCACGTAGTTCAAAATTCGAAATTCCTAGCTAACCTGTAACAATAATGAAGCCAAGATCACCTTCCGAAACGCCAAAAAACTGAATGATATTGGGATGGCGAATCCTGGCTAAAATATCTGCCTGAAATAAATTGATATGGCGATATTCATTGTGGCAACACATCACGAACTTATTAAACATTCAACAGCCGGAACAAACATAAGCTGAACAAAATAGATTGAATTCATGAGTCTTAAAGAAACAATAACGTTTCATTGAAAAGTGTTAGGACCTCTCTTTTGAGGGCATGAACTTGCTTCATCGCAACCATCATTACTTTTCCTTTTGTCTTCCATCTCCCGCTATGAACACTTCCATATGCGCCAGCACCTACGTCGTCGTACCTTTCAAGCTCATTTCGAGCAATGATCGGATAGTTAGCCGTCGTCTTCAATTCTTCGTCTTCAATTCTACCCATAACCAAAAATATTGGGTAAACAGCGTCAACAGGTCGCAAAGTATCTGCAAAGCTCAATTTGACAGTGATCGGTATTTCTAGCACCGGTAGTTCCAGCGATCAAGCTCAATTTTCTGGCTTAACTTTCAACAACTGCACATCGACAGTCAGGCGAGAACGAACTATCGAACCAACCACAAACAAAATGTGTCAATATATTAAGAACAATGACGAAGATCTCCACTCCATATCCTTCATGAGAACGATGCTCTCCTGCGCACAACAACCCTGTCAAAATCACTCAAAAAGGGTTAATAAGGAGACCATTCTTGAGACGGAAGGATGAGCATCTGTCTACGAAATCATCTTTTTTTAGTCTAAAAATCAGCCGAGGTAGCCTGCTTGAAGAGGCCTCCACCTAAACAACTGCTGAGAGATTATGAAACGGAATGGAATAAGAGAATCAATGAAATGGAAAATTGCAACCAAGTCAGGAAAAAAATGGCAAACTGACGACTAGATAAGCATATTTGTAAGGCAACGTTACATAGTCTTCTGTCTTGCGAAGACGATATAGATAGTGAATTGATGAGCTTATATTTGAAAAAAAGCCGCAACTTTATCTATCACTGACACTGCCTGATGAAAAGTTATCACGTTTTATTACGCGTGAATAATTTCAAAACAACTGGTTTGACTCAACATATCAGAAAAGGACCGTTTCTAGAGATAACGATGCATTGCGAAATGGGATAATTATAAAAATGTTGAAAGAAATAAAATTATCTATCATGCAAGCTATTTCATTCTGGAAATGGCCATGCTAAAAAAACGTGAAAAATCATCAATTAGAAAATCTTGAACAAAAACGATGGTCATATTCGTATAGTACCCCATTTCATGTTGAAGGAACGAGGCCCGAGCTGAAAACCTTTCTTGCATGAATACCACAAATCTTTATCGGTTTCATTCATGAAATCTTATATTTCATGTACTCTCGCTGCTAGCCGATGTGCAACATCGAGATATGTAACAGGAGTGAATGGTGTAGATTGATTTGAGCAGAATTATTTATTATCAATATTATTGTTCATGAGTACGGTATTTCTCTCTCATTGATTTTCTCATTCTCTGCAACAGTCCTCTCTCACTGACCGTATCATTCTCTGCAACAGTCCTCTCTCACTGACCGTCTCATTCTCTGCAAAAAATATCAGAGAACTGTTTTGAGCATTGAAACGCAAAAGTGGCATCAAAAAAATCGCCATATCAGCTTAGCACCGACATCACGAAGTGCTTGAGAAAATATTATTTTTAGATTTTTTATGTGGGTGATCTAATAAAATCTTATCATAATGTATGAACATTCACATTGTTATATATGTTATTTTCATTCATTTATCATGCATTTAGGTAACCGTGGTATTGGAACGCTTTTCTATGAGTTTTGAGATATCTCCTTGGAACAAGACGTTTTTGTATTAATTTAAACTATTAAATTATTTAAGATTGTGCATGATTCTGATTGTGTGTTTTATAATCCTTTGAACTAACTTTTGGTTTTATTGCATGACAGTGTCTGCGATGGATGGAAATAATCTTATCACTGAACAATGATGCGTTCGAATTGAAAGCTTTTTTGTGGATGCGATGAAAACCAAAAATTGTGATTAAGTGATAAGATTTGTATTTTTAGAGAATAAAGTAGACGACTGATGCAATCAAAATATTGAAGTGAACGACTGTAAATTGAAATATACGTTCATCCTGACGCTTATTTCATTGCCAAATATACACAGTTCGCTATCACAAAAAGATACTTATGTCACAGTGTTTAATCAACGCATTCCAACGTTAAAACGATGATGAGTGATCAAAAATTAAGTTTAATGGTCGACAAAGATATGGCTGGATTGATATGAGTAGTTGGTCGACACGTCAGCGTTTTCTGTCCGCAGCAGTTGATATTCATACACTAATGTTTGTGATCCTGATCGGCACTGTTTGTGATGTTGGCTGGCACTGTTCGCAATGTTACTTGTGTTGCTGGTGCGAAGGCGACAATTAATAATATGATTT